GTACAAATGCGCTTTACACAATTGATGTGTGTATGGATTGGGATAACAGTTGTATGAGCCCCTAATAAAATGTTAAAAAATATATATATATGAAAAAATAATAATAAAACTATTTAAAAAAAAAACAAAAAACTGGTCTCTGTCACATAACAACTGTGGACCGAGCGAAGGAAGGCACTCTCTCGTTCATCACACCCCATCTGTGAAACAGGAACGATGCCCGTGTAGCTCTAGGTGTTGTAGTGAGTACACAGACTGTCAAGCACATGGTGTATGTTAACAATGTGAAGGCTTTCCCCTTACCTTTCTCACTTCAAGAAAGTGAAAAGAAATATTTTGTATCATCCCACATTTTTACATAATTTAGTGCGAGTAGTGTGCTTGTTAAATTTCTTTGAATGGCAACAGGAAAATTAAAGCATTTGGGATTATTGGGGAAGCCTATATTTTTTTTATGTCTTTCTCTTTTTTTGGTGGCAGTGTTGAGCAATGAATTTAGCATCAGACTACCTGTTTGTGTATACAAAATCCGAAAGAACAGATACAGAAGGTTCTGTAACACTTTCCCTAAACCCAGGGACAAGGGAACAAGTGATCCAAAATCGATGGCCGAGGAGGATGTAGGAGGCCTGGTAGGGCTTGAGCAAGGGCAATGTAACCTAGAGGAATTACTGAAACCCAAATGAAGGTTGAGCATGATAGTGGGGCATGAGGAAAGTAAAAGGAAATAGAAAAAAGAACCAAGAGGCAAAGGGCATTTCAAGGGCATTTCAAGATGTATAAATACACGAATGTACATATGTAAAATATTTATAGATGATGATGGGGAAATAGTTCTATATGCATATATTTATAGGTTTAGTATTAAGGTAGCAGATGGACATTGGGTCTCCACTCAAGTACTCCCTCAATTCAAGAACACTTTGTTCTATTATCCTGGCATTCCATGATGCTTACCTTCCCAACACGCTGAAGATAAAGTGGGTGCATAAGTACATGTGGTGAAGAAAGCTGATGGTGCCCAGCTATCGAAAGATATAGCATCTTGGGTCTTAAAGACTTGAAAATAAATAAGCGGCCATCTAACTGAGAAGCAATAAAGCCCACATGGAAGAAATACACCAGCCTGTGTGATCAAGAGGTGTCGATGGGATCAGCTATCAGGCATCAGAGTACAAAAAATCATATAGTTGTGAATGAGGGGGAGTGCGGAGTGGGGGCCCAAAGGCCATCTGTAGGCAACTGGACATCTCCTTACAGGAGGGTCACAGGGAGAAGTCGAGCCAGTCAGGGTGCATTGTAGCAACGATGAAGCAGAAAACTCTCCTCTAGTTCTTAAATGATTCCCCCCACTATCATGATCCCAATTATACCTTACAAATCCGGCTAGACCAGAGGATATACACTGGTACAGATAGGAACTGGAAACACAGGGAATCCAGGATAAATAAAAACCCTCAGGACCAGTGGTGAGAGTGGCAATACTGGAAGGGTGGAGGGAAGGTGGGTTAGAAAGGGGGAACCAATCACAAGGATCTACATAAAACCCCCTCCCTGGGGGACGAACAACAGAAAAATGGGTGAAGGGAGACATTGGTCAGTGTAAGACATGAAAAAACAACAATAATTTATAAATTATCAAGTGTTCATGGAGGGGGAGGGGGAGAAAAAATGAGAAGTTGATACCAAGGGCTCAAGTAGAAAGCAAATGTTTTGAGAATGATGATGGCAACAAATGTACAAATGTGCTTGACACAATGGATGTATGGATTGTTATAAGAGTTGCACGAGCCCCGATAAAATGATTTAAACAAACAAAAGAAATTAAATATCATCTTTACTTACATATGTGCTTCCAACTTCTGTTTTAGTTTGCTGGACTATAAAATTAAAAACAAAAGTTGTTGTAAAAATTTATCTTGACAATGTTTCCCACAAAGATATATACTGTTTAACAACATAAATGCTGACAAACATTTTGGGCATTTTTTACTTCAAAGCATACAGAAAAAGGTGAGTGGAAATGAAATAGAGAAGGGGAATGAAATAGCAGGAAAAATCGCTTTATATTTCGAAGTTTAAAAAATAATGTACTTGAAAAAATAAAAAACGGAAGTATATATTAAGAAGTACCAAACATTTAGATACCTAAGAATCATTTATTTAAAAAGTAAATTTAAACTTTTAGCACTTTAATGAAGAACAAATGAATGAAGGGAGAAGTGGCGAGAAAGGGGGAACTAATCGCAATGATCAATGTACAACACACACAAACCCCACTCCCAGGGGGACAAACAACAGAAACGTGGGTGATGGGTGACAGCAGATGGTGTAAAATATGAAAATAAAAATAATTTATAAATTATCAAGGGTTTACAAGGGTGGGAAGGGATTAAAAGAGGAGCTGATACCAAGGGCTCAAGTAGAAAGAAAATGTTTTGGAAACGATGATGGCAACATATGTACAAATGCACTTGATACAACTGATGTATGGATTGTTATAAGAACTGTAAGAGCCCCAAATAAAAGTATGCATTAAAAAATAAACAAAAAATGTAAAGAACTGAATATTTAAACATTTATATCATTATAAATGTAAACAATTTAATTCTACACCAACATTATCTCATTATAAAAGTACTTTAATGTTAATGAAGCCATCAACTTCTGTTAATAAATAGAAAGGTTACAAAGTAGAATTTCTGCTTGAAAAATATTTAAATAACAATAGTCTTGCATTTACTGAATAGGTGAAGTATTAAATATTTATAATATATGGTACATTTTGGATACCAATAAATTTTTAAAAATAACTTCAAATCATTACAATATCATAATCCAAAATTTAGTTCCTCAAATCGATCCCATTTTGGAACTATTCTCCAATATAGCTTAACAAATATTTTTATTAGAGAGATTACAATACAATATATATGCACATATGAGAGGCCACCATGCATGAGACGATTTCTATTTTCCAAACCCCGGGGGAAAAAAGAAAAAATCATATAAATGATATAAAAAACAGAGAGGAAATACTTCCCTTTCAATTATTTTCTTTTCATCGTTTCACTTATTTTATGGTTTCCTCCCACATCAACAGAGGTATAACCGTATACCTTTCTCATCTCAATCAAGGCCTATCTAGAGCTTACAAACATCCAGCCCTTTCGTTTTTTGTTGCTGTTTGGAATGAAAGGAACACTGGTGGGCTTGTGGTTATGTGAGGGCGTGATGTGCATGGTTGGCAGTTCAAAACCATGAGCTGCTACATAGGAGAAAAGATGGGGTTTTCCCCTCCCGTAAACAGTTAGTCTTGGAACAGACTTGATGGCAGTGAGGTGGGGGTTTTTTGGTTCGAATGCAATACCTAGTTTCCTCAATCATAGCTTCTTTTCACCTGAAAAGATGGAGAGCAAATCATCTTGAAATTGCTCAGTATATTTATGTTGAGCTGAACTAAGCTTGCTCTCTTTTAAGTCCCCATGTACCTCTGCCCTCACAGTCCAGATAGGCAAGCCCGTAGAGCATGGTAACATCAGGAGTGAGTGTGGAAAAAAGGGAGGAAATAGGGGGCATGCAGTTTCTAAGATTGCACCAAGGCCTTTGTTTGTCAGGGGTTGCTATAATCCATTTCTTGAATGTCTTTTAGTAGAAAACCATTATCACTCTCTAATTTCCTATTATATATTTTCAGTTATGACTGATGATAATGCCCATTTGAGGTGTTTCTTTTTCCTCAGCCCAGTACTGCTGGAATCCATTCAGAACCGCGAAGGCCTCAACTACAGCATGTTCTCAATCAGGAAGTAACGCAAACTTAGACGTCGCTGTTGAAGTAGGGCAGACAGAAATCACCTTACAATATATGTGATCAATTTACAGACTCTGGGGTGGCAAAATTATTGCATCTTTTATGCAGATATATATGGTATTTAACGTCACCCTCAATGATGAGGATGGTGCTTCAAATCCTAGGTTAATTAGCACATCAGGTCCTACTGCTGTAGAGGTCATACACAGAAAAGTTACAGCAACTTCTAAGTTACTTACACTTTCACCTTCCGACTTTAAGCCTTGCTCCTGTAAAGACTTCTGGAGATCTTCAATCTGCTGCTGCATTTCACGGATGCGCTCTTGGCTCAGCCTATTGTGAGATGGCGTATACGCATTCATTTGTATTAAAAGTCAAAGCAGTTAGGATATATTCATATTTACAGGTGCATTCCCACAGTCTAATGAATAAAATAGGCATTTCATAGCAAAATTCAATTCAGAACAATTATATGTAGCTAGAGGCAGTACATAAGATATGCTATTTTCAAGGGCACAGTTAAAAGGGAAAAAAAAGGAATACATTTTTATCCTGAAAGTATATATGCCCAAATTTTAAAATTAGGTCCTTAATATATCAGTGGGGAGTCTGCACTGTACTCACTAGTTAAAAAAAATGAAAAACCAAGCTCAATTTCCTTTAGTTCTATACGTAATAAAGAGAAACTAGGTTTCTTTTTTAGCATATTACAAAAAGAGGAAATTCACCATTTTCTGACCACTTCCTTGTGCCTAGCAACCAGTACGGATTTTAACTTTGCAAAACTGTATTCTTTACAAGTTGCCTTCACTGAATGTTACCAACATGGCTTAGGATCTGTCTTTCTCTCTATCTAAGGTTCATATTATCTGTCCATTATAATATTTCCATTATTGTAGTGGTCAATAATGTAATAATTCTCAATTCAAATGTCTATCTTCCCCAAAAATTGAAACTTAGTTTCTCTAGTGCAGCCAATTTTCATTAAACTTCATTAACTTGTAATATTTAATAATCTCATCAGAAAGTTAAAATACTTTTCTTTTAGTTACGGTGATTGAATAGTATACATACAAATTCCAGAGAGACAAGGTTCACTGAAGTTTATCAGCTATCTGGGGATCACTAAGATCCAATAACGTTGGGATACATTAATTCAAATATATTTGATAGCAAGAGTGGTATTGATAAGAGGCAAGTTAACATAATATTTAAGAGCAGAGGCTCAGGAGAAAGACCAAAAGAGAATCCATATGTAGGCTCATGACCAACTAGCTCTGTAGCCTTGGGAATCTTACTTTATCCTTTTCTGCAACCTATGCATGAAAGAGAGATAATCCCAGTTACTACTTCACAGAATTTACTGAGTGAATACAGTGCAGAAAAAGTGTCTAGAAAACTGCCTGCAGTAAACCAACATAAATGTTACCTTTGTTATTGTAATTGTTATTACCTCTTTGGTACCAAATAACTACCAGTTGCTTTAAGTATTTTTAAATAACCTTCATAAAACATGGAAAAGAAATGTGATTATCAATTTATAGCTAGGAATACCAGTGTCAGAGTTTAAGTTACTTGCCCAGAATAGAGGTGGGATTCAAAAGGGACTCTGAAATCTATGTCCCACTGATTTCAGACTATCATCTGAGAGCACAGTAGAGAAGCTGGCCTGTCATTACTCACATGTCACATCTTCTGACAATTATATAGCTATCTAAATGAACAGCTTGATTCTCAAAGCTTGCTGAAATTAATGGAATGGTCAAAAGCCCATATAGTTAAATGGCAGAAATCATTCATTTAAATTTTCCATAGGGTAAAACAAGAGTAGTGAGAGGCTACAAGTAAACAAAATAGTTTAGATTTCTAGAAAAAAATAATTAATTTAACAACTATATGATTTTCTACTTCTGTGAACTAAGATTTATGGTTACATAATAAAAATTACCATGAAGATTTTAACTCATTAAGTTATAAATAAGCATATCACCTTTGATCAGTTTCTAATTCATTCATTTTACGGTGCTTTTGTTCTAACTGCACCTGAAGTTCTTCAATGCGTTCATTCTCAGTCCCTTCCTGCTGTAATCGAAGCATCTTATTTTCATGTTGCAGTCGAATAAATACCTCCCTGATGTTGAAAAGAAAAACTTTTTTAGTTGTAAAAAATAATTGTCTTTGTAGTCTTAATTTTTTTTACAGGAAGTTCTTATCCACTCCAGCTGTCATTTAAAAATACTAGCAAGTTTCTGAAAAATTTTGTCTTTGAAAAATGTGCCCTGCAAGACTGGACTTCAAAAAACAAGTAAATTGCAAAAGAAAAGAAACAGTGAAAGAAGTTAACGGCCACTCTGGGGGGGAAAAAAAGTAAATTGAAGAGAGGCAGCAGTTGGTGTAATATATGAAAATAATAATAATAATTTATAATCTATGAAGGGGTTATGAGAGTAGGTATGAGAAGAGGAGCTGATGCCAAGGGCTCAATAGAAAGTAACTGTCTAAAAAAGAATGAAGGCAACACACGTACAAACATGCCTGTGCAATCATGTATGAATTGTAATGAGTTTTAAGAGTCCCCAATAAAATAATCTTGTAATTTTAAAAAAGTATTATTTATCCAGGTCTAGGTGTAGGACTATATCATAGATAACTAAATAATTATTGTACAAATTTCTAAGCATTAATAAGAATTACTTTACATCTTTAATTTAGGAACTACCCAAAAAAGCAATATATAGTATATTTTCAGAAAGCATTAAAAAAGAAAGAGAAATTTAATAAGATTACCAAAACCAAAAGGTACCCCATGGTAGACATGTCCCTGTGAGTTTCTGAGACTGGAATTCTTTACAGGAGTAGAAAGCCCCGTCTTTCTCTCACGGAATGTTGGTGGTTTCGGACTGCAGACTTTGTGGATCGCAGCCCAGTGTGTAACCACTATGCCACCAGGGCTCCTCAAAGAAGCTTATAGTGTGTCTAACATTTTAAATACACTTTTATGATAGAAATAAGAAGGTAGCATCTAGTTTTTTTATTGGAGAAAAAACGATTAATGTTTTGCGTGGACACATTTCTTTTTAGTGTAAATACGAAAGGGATAAATAGGTAATAAGAGGGGAATTTGAAAAGTTCATGAAAAATGGAATTAAAAGATTACAAATAAAAGTTTTTAATAAACTTTTTGAAGTCCCATTGTATGCTTCACCACCTGGTGCCCTAAGACAATCCCATTCCTCAAAGCAAAGTAATTTCAATTTATCTCAATTTTTGCTAAGCCCATTACTTTAAATTACAGGCTCATATTTTCACAGAATCAATTTTAGGATAAAAATTGTCCCACTAAGGTAATTATTTGACATATTTGTTATATTGCTTTTCATCTTCTAACACATTTATGATATTATTAAACGTCCATAATTATAGTTAAAAAACAGAATAAACTGTACACAGTAATTTTTAAATAAAATTCTATAGCACATGACGTTACCACCTAGCAAGAAAATGACAAGATCATCTGCAGGTACAATGGTCTGGAAGGGGTTTCCAAACAACTATATCGTAATAAAACCAGAATATATTATTTGAATAATTGGTGAAATTTTAGCTTTAGATACATTTTTAAATTATTGCAGAAGCAATAATAATCTGACAGAAAACTTAAGCAGGTAAGATAATATAATTTACCTAGCACTGATTCACAATTTTTTTTTCAAGTTTCAAAGGCCAAGAAATTCACATTTCTATCTTAAATATGCATTATCAATTAATAAGAACAAATTTACCTATATTCCACCGGCATGATTTCAGCAGCAAGATTCTCATAACTTTTTGTGGCAGATGTGCCTAGAAAACAAGTGTGAGATAGCATTTCAGTTCTTCTATCACTCAAGAAACACAAACACACTTCTCTAAACCCATCCACATTCACCAGTTTGGTTGAGGTGATCCTGTTGTACTTGCGAACACCGAAGCTCCTCATTCGTTTCTTTTAGGGTATCACGTTGCTCTATTAGTCTCTGAAAAAGAATAACTGATATCAGCAAAATCATTATTCTCATAAGTAATGTCCTTTATGTTTCAGTAATTTTTCTTATATATTTTTTATTTTTTAAAAATAAATCATTTTATTGGCTCTTATAGTTCTTATAGCAATCGATACATTAATTGTATCAAACATTTATACATATGTTGTCATCATTTTCTTTTTTTAATCATTTTATTAGGGGCTCATACAACTCTTATCACAATCCATACACACATCAATCGTGTAAAGCGCATTTGTACATCATTCTCAAAACATTTCCTCTCCACTTAAGCCCCCGGCATTAGGTCCTCATTTTTCCCCTCCCTCCTCGCTCCC